ACCTCCCCCCACTGGGGAAGGCAGAGTAGGGTGAACCTTGGAAGGCATTCCGGAGGGCACGATTCACTGACAGAGATCCTTGTCTTGACAAAGGGGCTCACTGCCTCTGTCAGATGGGACGGAAAACTATCTTTCAGGCAGATTAGGAAAAAACTCTCTAAGCAGTGTTTGTTATATTAATAGGAGGACACTGTTAAAACAGGCCATCCAGCCCCAGGAAGAATGATCAGGCAGGCAATAACTCCAGCACTTAGGAGAATATGACAGGGGGGATTTTAAAGAAGCTATACATACCCTACCTCTTAGCCTTGATTTTTTTATAACAGATATTCCAAAGTTCAGATCTTTGGCATTTTGTTAAGAAACATTTACTAAAATCTAAGTATCAACCAGAGATCATGCCAGTAGCCTAAGGGTAGGACCAATCTGAACTACTGCTAGACATCATGCCTCACTTGCACAAAGTTTAGTCAGCAAGAGTTCATCTATAATCAGCAGAGAGATCAGCATGACCAGAGGGTGATTTCTCCCATCCTAAAACAAGCATCTATCAGATGGCTAATTTAGACAAGGAGCCTATTTTTAGATGGCTGTAATTAAGCAAAACAAATCTCATTGTAAGAGTCAGTATCTGCTGCTAACACAGTCTTTTCTGGGCAGCTGTTTAAAGCTGCATCTTAATTAAATTCTCCCTCCAAACATCATCTCTGTGATGAAAAATAAAAGTTTAAAAGTAACTATCCTGAAAGTTCAAATACATTTCCCTCTTGCCTCTTATTGCCTTAATCTTTTCTCTAATAGGGCCTGGGAAAGTGTCTGGGAGCACTAATTCCCTTTTTCCTTAGCAATGTTCCTTTGCAACTAATGGCATGAAATTCTCATGTTTCCACAGTCGCGTGTGCCCCAATAAAACAGATTGAGACACATAAGCCAGGTACATGCAAATCAGAAACCCTGATGACTGGAATATAATTGCTTTTACTGCTAATCACAATGCATTAAGCAGCCAAATGCCTTTCAGTCTCTATAATCTCAAAAATGACCTCTTAGCAGCACAATGAAATGTTATGTAAAAGTAGCATGATTTTACTGAGTGAGGCCTTGATAACTCCTGAAATTGCATGTTACTTTCCAAGTAAGAAAAAGCAAAGGCAGCACTGGAATGGAAACCCACCTGAAATTCTGCATGAATTGCCGAAATTTGCTGGCTCTCTTGGCCAATGGCACAATGACATTAATAAGTGTGTCAGCCATATTGACATTTTCATTTTTCACTTTCATTACAGGACCGAATGGCCGGAATAAAACAATCTTCTTGAACTGATGTTTTGTGTCTCCTTTGAAAGTCAGCTCATACAATGTGCCTTTGTCTTTTTCTGTGCGGTAGATCCCTGCGTGAAAACAAAAGAGATTTTTGGATTAAAGCTGGGCTCCTGGGCGAAGAAAAAGGATGCAGTCTTCATGTGTTACACCTAAGCTGAAAAGGCAGCAGAGGCATGAGATATTTACTTTTAAACCAGTATGCAATCCACCATCATTTGAAGGAGGCTGTCACTCTGGCAGGGACAGAGCCCTGGGTTGCAGGAGCTATTTGGTATTCTTGCAGGCACATTCCTAGGCTTGGCTGAGTTACAAACCCCTGAAGGTTACCAATTGCTCACACTCAGTATAACCCAGCAGACATGCTGTCCTTATTTTTCAGACTGCTCCATTTGCACACTGCAGGCATGCATAGTAATGGTGATGCAGAGAGACTGTGAAAGGCAGCCTACCCCTCTGCAATATGAGTGATTAGGCCATCTCCCAGAAAAGCAATTTCCTGATGAGCACATTCATTTTCTCCTTTCTGGGAGGTTCTCTGGAAAGTCCCCTAATAAAACCAGGCCCCAACAGCCATCAACTTCACCCACTGCCAATCAGGATAAACTCTCCTGTTACTCAACTCTCAAGAGACTTTTATTTTCTTTGTGGCAATGATGCCCACTCCTGGGCAAGTAATGGTCTGCAAAGATGACACTATGGAATTTGTCAGAGGCTAGACCCAGGACAGAATCCTGGAGACTGCATTAGACAGTCTCCAAGGATATTTAATTCATACAAGCATGTACTTATTTCCTGTATGGAATGAAGTTTTAACATACTCGATGGGTGAAATTGGTCCCACGTTGAGGGCTGGCACGAACTATAAAAGTATGAAACACTATTCTGATACCTTAAATGAGATGAAGTTGGCAAAAAGGCTATAGATTTTACCCACTCTAAATGACATTTCAGTCCCTACAGTGCATACTGAAATAAAGCTTTTTCATAGTTAGATCCATTAGGATTAAATGCTAATTCTAACTACTTGTTAAGCCACTGTAAGTATCCTAACAGCTTCATCAGTAGAAGAGTATAATTGCATTGCCTTCCATCTCTTGCAGAAACTCAAGAGACAAGCAAAACATGTCTGGAAGAAAACTCCTCCACTTGATTCGTTTCTCCTTTATTTTCTCCCCATCTGGTTATGAAGAACAGCTTGACCAAAATAATGTTTTTGTTTTTTTTTTTAATCTTAGTCATCCCCTGATGTGTAACATTGCTGTGCATCCGACCCATAGCCTGTCAGCTCTGTCTGTATTTCTTGTGAAGGTCTAGGTCAAAGGTTTCTTTGAACAGCAAAGTGACATAAGCTCTTCATCTTGTATTGTAGCTTTTACATTGGTATGTCCAGAACATCCAAAAGATTAATGAGGTGTGATTTTATCTGGCCGGAGTTCTGTGGACTGTCTTATCTTCGTTATCACTGTGTAAGAGTTTTATTCTTAATGAACACTTCAGTTGGTTAATGCTATATGCAGATTTACTTATCTGTTATTCACTTCATGTTTTAATACAAGCTGATTCAACAAATGCTCCAATCCTCCCTCCAGCATAGCAGATGAATCTAGTGAGATAGCAGCTCCATCGTTCTTTTACTGCTAATCTTTTAAAGCTGTGCCCTTGACTCCCCCTAGCTTTTTCTATATAGTCTGCCCAAGGTGCAGACCATGAACTACATCTGTTATTGAATTTGAGCCTGCACTTGAGATCATCTGAACGGTGACCTAATAGTCCCTACATTTCCTCCTGTCGGTGGCCAGAGAATGGAAATCTGGGCCTTTGAATTCTGCTCACCCATTTATTCTTACAGAAAGCCTGCTGATGATCTGAGCGTGTTGCTGGGTGCACTCATTTACTCAGGCAGTTTTTGAACACAGGTCTTGCCAAGGATGTTTGTGTTGTGGAAGGTTAAGGTAGCCTTTTGACATTAAGCTAAACAAAGATCTAAATTAAATCTGATTTGCATTTTCTCTAGAGAGAAATAGATAGGACCGTTTCACGTTTGACATAGTGAACTGACATTTTTCATAGTAACAAAGATCTAAATTAAATTAACCAATTTAATGATATCTACCACACAACATCTCAAAGTCTTTGCTTCTACATCCTCTTCTACCCCAGCCAAGAAACAATGACCCCACAAATACCATTTCCCCAGAGATATGTACTACATTTGTGGAATAAAGGAAGCTTTGCCAAATAAGCAAGAAGGACCTTAAAGCAGAATGCATGTTGTGACCCGAGGGGTCCCTCCTAGTGCTATACACACATCAGCAGAGGCTGCTTCTAACTCCGCAGTTTTGTTCTTGTTCAGGACTTCTACTACAGCTAAAAACAAGCAGCTTAGGTGAAGGCAAGGTTCCCTCGCGCAAGATGGTACTCCAATAATTTATAATCCTAACATGTTATCTTGAAGAGAATTGTATGCAAGTTTAATGCTTGTAATTAGATATGGTCATTCTTGATGCACATTTAAACCATTTATTTTCCCTTTTTAAGCATCATCTTCCTTTTTAAAGTATCTTCTTTTTAGAAGCAGAGAACAAAGTGATTTACCCAAGGTCAGGCAGTGAGACTTGGAAATGAGCCTGAATGTCTTGAGTCACTCTGGGGACTCACCCAGCAGAACATCCTGCCTTTCACAAGATTTTTCCATTTCCGAAGGCACTACTTCATTTGTGCCATCAGGACTTTTTACGTGATTCAGAAAGATGTGTCAAGCAGCCTCAATTCTAAGAGATGAACTACGAGGAGGGGAAAAAAGTAGTCTCAAAAAAGTAAAACAAAAAACCTTTTCCTGAAAAGGTTGCTCCTGAAACAAAAGCCTTGGAAAGGCTAGATGTTCACTATGGATAAAAGAAAGTTGATTGATCATCTATTGCTTCCATTACAGCAGCTATGTTTCAGAATATGCACCATTCCTTTCAAAGGCAGGGAGAAAAGTCAAGGCCTTTGGAAACCCAATGTAAAAAAGTGAACAGGAGCTTTGGGTCAGCAGAGAGACTGGCCCTGAAATTAAGGAAAAGGACAAGTGAGAAGCAAAAAACGACCTGGGCTGAAGGGTTGACTAAAGAGCAGTAAGTGTCCAGCCTTCAGAGCAGCAATTCCCAGGGCTCTCTAAAGATATGGAAAATACCTGATCTCTATTCAGCAGGGCAGGCAAACAAGTTTCAGAGATCTGCATGGAACTGATAACTAGCAAACAGCCATGCAACCTTAACAAAATGCTGTTGAGTGGATGACACTTTTAGCCTCAGTTTCACAGACCATAGGTTTCAGGTCTTCCACTGTCAGTAGAAACACTCCCTGACCCGTGCTCATTACTTATATTCTGTTAGATGTTGTAGGAACCGCTATTAGGATTTATCAGCGTTCATTGCCCCCATTTTAACTCAATATTACGGTGGTCTTCCCACTTCACATGCAGTAAAATACAGCATCTTATCCTTTGAGGAAGAGCATCATCCTTTCTCCCAATAAGCTTCCAGGGCAAAACTGCATCAGGTAGCCCACCACCAGTAGCTGTCAACTTGAGAAAGCAAAGCTACTCCTTTTCATTTGTCTCCGAGACCTTATTTAAAATTCCAGTCACTAGACAGCCACGTACTTCAGGTAGAAAAACTTATGATACAGCATATTTGACAGTGCTATGGCAGGGCATTTCTGAAGCAATCCAGGGATTTTCTGGAACAT